TTTTTTTTTTTTTTTTTTTTGTTTGTGTGTGTAAGAGGGATTGAGAGGTGATGAAGTCAGGGCCAAACAAATTATTGTGCTGTTCTTGGCAGCTATTGTAACTGTTGTATTGTTCTTGTACGTAAATATATGTCGTTTTCGTGCTGTTAATATTATGCTTAGAGCATTAAGAGGCGGGAGGTGGCACGCCGATACATTCATCTGTGCTGTTACGGAAATTTGTAGCTTTTTCAGTCAATGTTTTTCACTAATCCAAAAAGATTTGAATTTTTGGCTCTCTTTACTATTTCATGTAGCTGACCTTTGTAGCTGTTTTTTTCTTTTTCTTGTTTTTTTAAGTCTAATTTCTCAAATAAGTTTGTTCCATTCTGCTTTATATTTGTATTTACTGTATTTGGCTTTTTTCCCTCTCATTTCATTTATATTTCAGATATATTTTTTGATATATTTTTTGTTTTTAAGTTTATACGCGTTGTTTCAACGGCTGAAATATACAAATAAGTGATATTGCATCATGACAGATGAAGATGTGTACAAATGTGACCTGTTTTGCTAAAAACTTTTCTCGTTTCAGAGGAGTTTTCAGCCAAATCTCGGGGTAGATTTGCGTGAACTAAGCGAGCGGTTAACTCGTTTGATCAGCCATTCTTCAATAGGTTCGTCACTGCCTTCACTCAAGTAAGTGTTGCCTGTAATATTTTTTCTTTTGTATAATACTTCTGAGTAATTTTTCAAGTTTATTAGCGGACGGCAAAAAATAGTATTTCTCTTCTTGTTTTATTTTCGTATTCATTTTTGTTTATTTTTATTTTGAATTTTATCTTAATAATTTGCTACTCTTGACTTCTACTGTTTCTTACTATTTCATTTGCTTTTTCAGTTTTACTGTTTCCATCTGCTGCAATTTAAAGACAATAGTAATTAACTGAAGGATTAGGAGGACTAATAATGCTTGTCAGATTAAGTTTTTTTGACCACCTTGCCTCAGTTGACCATCAGTAATCTGTTTAAACAGGTTATTGGTGGGGTTATTTTGACTGTTGAAGAGCGGAAAATTGTTTTAGATAATTTAGATAAGATTTTTTTGACATGTTTTGTAAATCTGTCGTTGATTGTAAGAAATAAAGAATATTTTTTGAAACTTTTCGTGTTAGTGTTTTGTGATTTTTAAGGACTTATTTATTATTTGAAGAGCTGATAAAATTGGTATCAGTATCAAAAGATTTCTTCTTATTTGCTGTTGATTTTTGCGGGGATTGAAGGGGATTTTCTTTGTTTTCTGCGCGGTAAACCTGGTTGTTGTTTGCTAGACTAATGTGTTGCTTTCTTGAGTTAATTTCTTATTACAAAATTTATGATTTGAAAAAAAAGGAGAGATAGATCTTTGAATATTGCTTAGAAATTTTCTTACTATAGGTTCAGAGTAATAATGAAGTTTTTCGTACGATTCTTTGATATTTGAGTTACACTGGAAGCGGATTATGCCGATATTTTGTAACTTGTTTTTTAAGTTTTTTTGCTCTAATGAAAGTTAATAGTCGTTACTTCTGCAAAATAGAAACTGATCTTGTTTGGTTCAAAGCGATGAGTGGTTTTGGGACGGAATTAGAGAGTTTTTCAAGCAGCTTTTTATACTGCTGATTGAGGGCGGCAAAAAGAACTTGAAACTGAAGAAGTGGCAAACTTTTACAAGCTAGTGAGAAATAGCCATTGAAGATTTTGCGCAAGAGGGTTTTGCGAATGTTAGATCTCATTTGTTCATTGTACTAAAGTTATATTGTGTTGTCTAGAACACTATTTAATGTCTTTTTAGTGGTTAGTAGGGACTATTCCAACCTACTTTTAAAATTTGTCGTTTTATTAGGTAATGAACCTACTGAAGACGTTTTTTGTAGTTCGTTGAGTTCTTTGAACAACGGGATGCCTTCAGCGAAAGTTGCTGATGGGTCTTGTTCGTCACTTCCATCTCTTCAAAGCGGATTTAACCGTAAGCTTGACGCCAATGTTTTGCCAGTCAAAATAGGTTGGTGATGGGCACATCTAACCTTTCTGTCTTGTGGTTTCCAATTGCAGCGTTGTTGGTTCAGCAAGTCGCTGATAATTTTAAAAATTTCTTCACCAGGATTTCTTACTTTTTAAAGGCAACACTAAAGAATGTACGTCATTAAACGGCTGCTTAAATTTAGAAAAAACGGAAGAGGAGCGGCAGAAGGAACTAGAGGTATATAAAGAATTGAAGAGGCGGAAAAATGAGTTGGAAGAAAAACTTTTAGCAAAACTGGAAGAGTTGAGAGAAGTGTGTATTAAAGAAGCGGTAAGAATTATTTGTATGGTTATCTGGTGCGTTGAAAAAAGGGACCGCTATGAACATGATTATTGTTTGGAAAACAGTTTTTTATTATTTTTGCAAATGCAATGTTTAGGAAATAACTGGAGAATTGCCGAAGGAAATTTATAAAACTTTGATGCCTGGTGAAGTGGAACCAAAGGTGAAACGTCGAGTTGGGACGGCATTTACCTTCAGTGAGGAGGTTTTTAAAAAACCTGTTGACACTGTAAGCTTATTAGCTTGTACACTGTTTAAATTGTAGTTTTCTGTAAGTTTCTTAAGAACAATTTCTTTAGAATGATAAAGTCGCCATGCTGGAAACGGACGTAGAGTTACATCGAAAAATTGTGGCAGCAGCAGAACGCTTAGCGAAAGACAAAACCACAAACAAATCTGTCAGAAAGAAGCGACAGAAAGACTTAATAGCCGCGACTCAAAAGCTTAGAGGACTTGAACTTGGCTTAAGTAAATTACGTCTTTCGGCTAGCAAACCTGACATTAGCTCATCTGTGGATGGAAGCAATGGAGGTTGTCAGCTCTAATACAAATTATTAAGAGCAGGCGTTCAATTCAGCTCTTTGAGACTTTTAACTGAAGATTGCTTTCATTTATTTGTATTTTAGGTGCTTGGGTGAACTTTTCTGGTCGTCATCCAAACTCATCAAAATTAGGTGTTC